CGATTCAAAAACGCTTGCATGCTATACAAAAATGAAAGATTGCAAATAGGCAATAGCTACCTTGACCTAATAGTAATATTCATTGTCAATGTTTTTTTTTTTTTTTTTGAAAGGCAAAAAAGATTATATTTTTTAGTATAATGGATACTCAAACCCATTTACATCAAAAAAGCATACTCTGACTCAAACGTTGCCTTGCCCATTGATGGCATATTGTATGGTCCCTTAAGAGATTTTACAACCGTTGGGATTTAGAATCCATTTCGAAAAAGTAAAACTTCCTCCTTTCCCTATATTTTTTATCCACAAAAAAGACCTCACTTGTATTTGATCAAATATCCGATCCACATTCGCATGGCCCTCTTTGAATACTACCTCATTCCTGGTATTCCAAGTTGTCCATACCAAAGAGTACCAAACAGCAGCCCAGCCCAGTCGGTTATTCGCTTTGAATACCATGTCTTCATGCTGCATAAAAGAATCCCTACATGTTCCAGCTAGTACAATGCTTAGACCCCACCATTGAATGCATTTTATCCAAATTGCTGAAGCAATTATACAATGGAGGAAAAAGTGGTCACCATCCTCCACACATTTGTTGCATAACCCGCATGTAGTTGCTTCTATTTCTGTGACTATTCCTCTTTTGAACAGATTGAGCTTTGATGGAATCCTATCATGCAATAATAACCACACAAACCCACAAACTTTGTTAGGAATGTGACTATTCCATAACCTTATAAATAATGATTCTTGTGATGAAGGTTGTTGATGGACAAGTTTGCTGTATCCTGATTTTGTTGTGTATAATCCCTTCCTCTCCGCCTTCCAGATCCAAGTGTCCTCCTTGTCTTTTGGGAATTCAGTAATATCGATCCATTGCTTTAAATCCTGTAGTGATTCGGTCTCCCAGGAAAACAAGCTTCGCCTCCATTCAAAGTTCCATGACCATGTTTCACCTTTCCAGCTACCCATTTCCTGTATAAAGCTTTCCTTTCCTGTAGATAGCATGTATAATCTTGGGAAAGCATTAGCAAGCACTCCTGCATTGCTCCAACTATCCTTCCAAAAGCTAACACTATTTCCTTTGCCAACCTTAAGCTCATAACCATCCAATAACCACCCTCCTCTGTTATCTTCCAACATCCAACCTTCATATATCCCTCCACCATCCAGACCCACTACCTTTACCTTCCCTCACCCACCCACACCAATTATCTTTTCTAGACCCATATTTTTCTTTAATTAGCCTAACCATAAGTTCTCCTTTCCCTCTGCTAGTCTACCCCACCATTTACCTAAGAACGCCAAGTTAAAAAGCCTAATGTCCTTCACTCCTAGACCTCCTTCTTGTTTGCTTCTACACACTAGTTTCCAATTTACCCAATGTATTTTCCTAGTCTCCCCCCCCATTGTCAATGTTTTAATGTGCTGTAGTATTCTTGATTAAAATTTTTTAAAATATAGTAATTTTAATTAAGTAAAAAAATAACAGTATCCCTAATTTAAATAATTTTAAAAGGTGATGTATGTGTGAAATCTCATGTCATGTGGAAGCATGCTTCAATTGCCCAAAGCCCAAGAGAACAAAAAG